TCCCTTTTGGTTTGTTTTTTTAATTTACAAATTATCCAAAGGATAACCACACCCCCCAAGCATGGGACTAGGCCAAACAACCCCACCCCCACCCATTCCTTAAAGTAAGAGAAAGCTGAGGTAATCCACGTTGAGAATCCTTCTGTTATAGATAGATCTATGCGAGTAGAGTTGATATGGATGATCGCCGTTCTCAGCTGATGCATGGTCTGTTCAAATTCCATGGTCCAATTCTGTTTTAAATGCTGGGATAAACTTTTAGAGAGATTAGCTGCATATGTCATATTTTCATATTGAACAGATGTAATACATAAACCAGGTAGTTTTCTTTCACATCCTAGTTGTGCTAATTGCCATAATATGTCTAATTGTTCTTGAATAAGATCTACCCTTTGGTTAATCAACATAAGTCCTCCTTGTATTTGTGTATTAGCGAGAGTTTGAACATCCATAGCCTCAGATACTGTGGCTGATAAAGTATTAATAACTTCAGCAGATTGTACTGATGTAGATAAAGCAATTGCAGATGCTGTAACAGCTGCGGTAACAGCGGTAGCAGCTACAATAGTAGCAATAATTGCAGAGATACCAAAATCTCTTCTTATTCTAAATAGAGACAGGCTATTAGGAGTCTCTACTGGGACAGGGACAAATCGTGGCATGCGAGTAACTATGGCCAAGGGGAACCGTTGAGCATTCCAACACAGCGTATAATAACAATCACCCAGTGTACAATTTAGATTCTGTAAGCTGGTTACATTGGTTTGGTTAGATACTAACCAAATAAAGGGCGGCCAAACACATGCCAATGAGGGGGTATAATTAGTTTGACTAAATGGAAGAATGTTTGATATATTTATCTTCCAATTCATAGTGGAATGATTTTGGGAGGTTCCTGTTTTATTAGTACCCTTTTCCCGGGTGGATTTAGTTTCTCCTTTATAATCATATATTATTTTTGCCAATTCATATGTACCTCCCCTCAAAAATATCAGAGGGGACAGATCAGTACAACTACCATTAATGCCACAGAGTGTCCAAATATGAGAGGGGTTATAGTGCCATGCATCCATAGGCAATATAGCAGGCTTCTCTGGAGTGGGGTTTAAGGTAAGGTTAGAGTCAATGCCTATCATTGGAGAGAATGTAAAATAATCTTTAACTGCCCAGGCAGTTTCTATGGCTTGGCAGCCTGACCAGGGTATAGTGGGACTATAGTCAAATTTATTCCAGCAACGTGGCCCAAGCCTGGGCTGAAATATTGTTTTATTATTTATTCTTTTAAGTTGTGGCCATAATCCCTCAATTACTGATGCATCGTTACAAAGCCTAGTACCAGAAATCCCACATTTTGAGCCCATACCAGTTTCTTCTCCTAATAATATTGCCACTTGTTTATGTAGATTAATACATGGTCCAATCTGGGCACCTGGCTCATCTTGCGAGTGAACCGAAAAACATAAAGTGCCTGTAAGGGGAAATGATCTATTTTCCTGGTGTAGCGCTAATGTCGAATCCTCTGGTAAGAAGGGAAGTCCTACCATTGAATCTGTTGTGAAAAATCTGGGAAAAACTTGGGCATTATACGTTACCGGCATAGGAATGGGGAATGTTGACATGATTCCCCAGCGTTCTTCTGCTGTTGTCATTACGCTCATCATGGCCATCACCATCAACCTTTTCCATATCTGGTTCCCCAATATCTGGTATGTATCTGACCAGTCTTTCTGGTACCCAAATGGGATTCTCTTCATCCTGTGGGAAAACACATGCAGCTCCCCTGGATCTCCTTAATATTGGATCCGGTCCTTTCCATTTGTTAGTAATAACATCCTTCCATTTTGCCATCGTTTGTGTCTGTTCTTTATGACCTGCATGTCTTTGTGCGGCAGTGAAATTATCCTCATCTTGCAAGAAGAAATTGAGTGTAAACTGTGCTGTGGCAATTCTCATCCGTGGTGTAAGTGGAACACCGATCCCTAGTCCCTCCTTTTGTTTTTCTAAATAAGACTTAAGAGTCTTATGTGCACGTTCAACAATACCTTGACCCTGTGGGTTGTAGGGTAACCCGATATTATGATGGATATCCATTTGAGCACAAAATTGCTTGAATTTTTCTGATGTATAAGCTGGGCCGTTGTCTGTTTTAAGGGAGATAGGTTTTCCCCAAGCACTCCAGGCCTCCAGGCAATGCTGAATAACATGGGAGGTTTTTTCTCCCCTCAGTGGGGTGGCATGGATAATGCCAGAATATGTATCAACAGAGACGTGGACAAATCTGAGTTTTCCAAATGAGGAGATATGTGTCACATCCATTTGCCATATGTGTAAAGGCAACAGACCTCGGGGGTTAACACCCACGTGTCTCTTAGGAATAAATTGGCAACAATTTTTACAAGATGTAACAATCTCTCGAGCTTCTTTTCTGGTTATTTTAAATCTTTTCCTGAGTGTTTCTGCTGTAACGTGAAATTGGTTGTGAAGGGCTCGGGCTTGATTGAGTGCAGTGTAAGAGAAGATGGGTGGCGACTTGGTCGCCTTATCTACAAGCTCGTTGCCAGAGGTCATTGGTCCAGGGAGGCCGGTGTGAGACCTGATATGAGTGATGAACACAGGGTTTTTTCTTGACCAGAGGAGTTCCCTGATCTGCATAAAAAGACTTGCTGCAGGACTGCTTTCCTTAATTAACCCTGCATTTTCTAGGGCAAGGACAGCATTGACAGTGAATAAGGAATCAGAGATGATGTTCAAAGGTTCTGGAAAACGCCGAAGAACTTCTAAAACTGTATGACATTCTACCAGTTGAGGAGATTTGTAAGGGAATTTCTTTCTAAAGACCTGATCATTTGTTAGGAAGGCTCCTATTCCCGTTTTGGAGCCATCTGTATATACAGTGGTTCCTCTTTCTAGCGGTTTATCAGAAATGACTGTTGGAAAGGAGGTTTTGTGTATTCTAACAAGATGAAGTAGGGGATCCTTCGGATAATGGTTGTCAATCTCTCCATGGAAAGAAGAGGTCAAGACAGCCCAATCATCATTAGATATGATTAGATGCTTCAATTGATTGGAATCAAAGGGAATGATAATTTTCTGGGGTGTCTTCCCAAAATGAACAATGGCTAACTCCAAGCCTTTGAAAACCAGCTGAGCTATTAAGCTAGGGTAATTAGATATGATTTTATTGGGGGAGCTATTTAGATGTATCCAAAGCAAGGGGCCGCCCTGCCAAAAGACGCCTGTAGGGAGATCAGGTGTCTTAAGAACGCAAAGCCAAAAGGGTTCCTTTAGATTTATTCTTTTTAATTGTGCGTCCGTGATGGCTGCTTCTATCTTCTTAACAATTTCCCTTGCTTCAGTAGTTAAGAATCGGGGGGACGAGATGTTAGATTCTCCCTCTAGGATTTTAAAGAGAGGTTTGAGCTCAATAGTAGATAACTTCAGATAAGGTCTGAGCCAATTGATATTTCCTAAAAATTTTTGAAAGTCATTTAAAGTAAGAAGGTTTTTGGTATCAAGATGAACTTTCTGGGGTCGAATGTGAGTATCAAAGAGTCTTGATCCCAGGAATTCTTTTACTGGGGAGACTTGTACCTTGTCAGATGCAATTAACATACCCGCCTGTTTCAGCTGTACGTTAAGGTGGGCGTATACCTGGGTCACTGTTTCTATGGAAGAGGCACAAATAAGGATGTCATCCATGTAGTGGATGAGGACGATGTTTGGATAATCTTTTCTGATTGGATCCAAAAGCTGTTGTACATATAATTGACACAAGGTAGGGCTATTTGCCATACCCTGAGGTAATACCTTCCATTGAAATCTACGATCTGGCTCTATGTGATTAAGAGCTGGCACAGTAAAGGCAAATTTCTCCCTATCCTTTTCATGAAGGGGAATAGAAAAGAAGCAATCCTTGATGTCTATGGTAATGGTTGGCCAATGCTGCGGCAGAGCGGTAAGCAAAGGGAGTCCCCTTTGCAGCGGGCCAAAAATTTGCATTCTAGAATTAACAGCTCTAAGGTCATGAATAAGACGCCATTGTCCATTTTTCTTCTTTACTACAAATATGGGAGTATTCCAAGGGGATGTAGAGAGCTCAAGGCGCCCCAGCCTTATTTGTTCATTCACCAGGCGACAAGCAGCCTGTAGTTTTTCGGAGGATAAGGGCCAATGAGGGACCCATGTGGGCTCCTCCGTTTTCCAACCAATGGGTCGAGTCTTCCCCATGGCCCCTACAAAAAAACCCAGTCCGGTGCGACCTATGTTATTGTCTAAGGTTATGGGCTCAGGGATTCCTTGCAAGTCCTTTCCTAGCCCCTTTCCTGGAACATAACCTAGGTTCTCCATCATTTTCTGTGCCTGGACACTATAATTTCCACTCTTTCTCTGTGATATACTGTCATTGGTTAGAGTTATTCCCAGTTGTGTCATTATATCTCTTCCCCACAAGTTTACGGGGAGAGGAAGTATGTGGGGTTTAAAGATACCTGTGTCCCCGTCCAAGGTTCGCCACCTTAGGAAGTTTGTACTAATGTTGGGATTGGAATTGTACCCTAAGCCTATTAAGGATCTATCTGACTTCCTCATAGGCCAAGCCTTGGGCCAAAAATAGGAGGAAATTACACTAATATCAGCTCCTGTGTCTAAGATTCCCTCTAGTTTTTTATCATTAACCCATAATTTCAGTTTTGGTCTGTTCATCAATTGTAACGTGAGGAAGGCTTGTGGGGATCCAAGGGTCTCTCTATCAAGAGTCTGTTTAAAATTGGGAAGGAGCAACAACTGTGCTATTTTATCTCCTGGGTTAATCAAGGTGGAGCATATGGGAGAAACAGCGAGCACAGTAATTTGCTGTCTCACCTTTCTTATAATAACAGTCGCAGGGAAAATTATTATTGTATCCATGAAAGGAGTCTCCTTATTATTGATCAATCCCAAGGTCTCTCGGGGTAAATCATCAACTGGTTCCAGCACTAATGGCTGAATTCCCATGTCAGGGGTTAATAGACATCTGGTGGTGGCACGCAAGTCCACTCTGTATCTTCCTTCTCCATCTCTTCCTGCATCTTTTGGAATACCATCGGCCGGGTTCCCTTGGTCTGAATTTCTGAAAGGCCCTGAACTTTTGAGGGGCCCCAGGTCCTTGGGCCCCTCTCCCCGTTTTTTGAATTAATGGGGAGTAGATTGCCATCTATGTCTTTAATGGATCTGCATTGTTCTGTGGGATGATAGCCTTTTCTGCATCTTTGACATATCTGTCGCATGGGGGCGACAGCTCCCATGTTACCCTCCGTCTTTCCCTGAGCTGATGTTACTTTTACCCTGCAGTCATGTTTGAGGTGACCTGTCTTTCCACAGCGGAAGCAAACGGGTCCTTTCCGGACCGGGGGCGTTCGGGGTTGCTGTCTCAAAATAGCTGCTGCCAGGCCTTCATTAGTTAGAGGTCCGCCAATGTCCCTACAAATTCTGACCCAATCTGTAAGTCCCTTAGCTCTCCTGGGTGCAATAGCGGCACGACAAGCCTGATTGGCCTGCTCAAAAATTAACTGTTCCACTAAAGGATTGATTTGGTCTGTCTCCCCAAAGATTCTAGTGGCAGCCTCTGACATTCGAGCCACAAATTCAGAAAAGGGCTCATCATTCCTCTGCAATATTTTCGAAAGCTGATTGTCTATACCACCTCTTCTTGACAGGAGTTTCCAAGCCTTAATGGCCAACCTGGAGATTTGTGCATAAATTCCCCAGGGGAATTGGTTCTGATTGTTGTTATGAGCGCCCTGTCCTGTGAGCATTTCAAAGGTCCAAGCCTGTTGCTCGGGGGTAATGGCTATTGCATTAACTCGGGCTTGCTCTTGGGAGGCCTCGTACCAAAGGGCCTTCCATTCTAAATATTGTCCCATGTTAGGGAGCGTGGCTTTTGCCACAGTCTGCCAGTCCGCGGGGGTCATGGCATTCACAGCTAGGCGGTCCAGTTGTGCCAATGTAAAATTGGCAGTCGTCCCATATTTTCTGACTGCCTCCGCCAATTCTTTGAGCTGGCTATACTCAACTTGAGCATAGACCCTGTTTGCTTGTCCTTGGTCATTAGTAACCTCGAAAACAGGAAAGGCTCTAGTAATCTCTCTGTTTACCTTTGGGGGCAGCAGGGAGGTTCCTGCCGCATGCCTGACTCGCCCTGAAAAGGAATGAACAGGGGGTGCAGTTGCTCTCATGGGTATCTTAAATTCTGGGGAGGCTTCCAGGTCCCCTAAGGGGTCCTCCTCAGAGGAGGAGCTCTGACCATCCTCCTCATGTTGTTTTGTAAAACACTCTTCAAAAGCATGTAGCATTGAAAAAGGATAAAGATCTTGTTCTCTCCCCACATCTGGGTTATAGGGAGGGTCTCTTTCTGATTTTGTTCCTTCAGAAATTTGACTCCCACGTCCGGGGGTCCCGGCATCGAATGCCAAAGGCTTTGTCGCCTTTTTCCTGGCGCCAACCCTGTCTCCACGCTCGGTTTCTGATAGTCCTTCCTGTACGTTCTCTGAGGATCGTTGTCCTTCCTTTATCATGGGTGCACAATCTCTGTCTTGCAAACAATTCTTTATTAATTTCCAAATAGCTTTAGTCCCCAATCTGAGATCTTCCTGCTCCTGCCTTAGGTCCAAATCTCTCCCCAACTTGTTCCACGAAGCTAAAGTCAAAGACCCAGAACAGGCATACCACGGTGCAACCCGATCAACTTCCTTGATGAAGTTCTTGAGGGTTCGAGGGGCAATCTTAATGTCTCTCTGCTTCAGTACCTCTTGAAGAGCTGTCACTAGGGATTGGGTAGAACCCATTGTCCCCCTCTAAAATGTATAAGAAAAGAACGGAGACAACAAGTATGCCTTGCAAAACAAAAATCTCAAGGGTCAGTAAGGTGAGTGCGACGGCCTCCAGTGTGCTTAGCCGGGATGCAAGTTATCTACCTTTGACTGATTCATGGCACTCAGACTTCGCCCCCGAACGGTTTATCTACATCCGTCGTTACCGAGGGTTTGGCACACAAAGTGAAAGTAAGTTCTCCGATCAGGCGGGCGCCGACTTATCTACGCCGGACTGATCTCCGCCTTAACAGTGATATTTGTGGAAGCAGTAGAGAACAAGGAACAAGAGAACCGTAGCCCCTATCACAATAACAAACCCCTAAACACAACCTGCCCAAAAAGGAGTCAAACCAAGAGAACGTAACCCAGAATCAAGAATGAACATACCTCTCCGAGTCGTGATCCCTGCAGTTCTGAATCCTCCGTCTCCAGGGGGTCTCCGGCGGTGCTCGAGGGTCCCGGGTTTCGGCACCAGCTGTCCCGCGCTCTTTCTCCGACCACCCCGCCGGCAGGTATCGGCCAGAAGGAAGAGACGGACACGATCAGGATTCTTCTGCAGGAGGCTTTATTGTCACTCGACAGGCAGTGCACAAACCCAAATAAGGAGGGCTGTGGCAGATGGAAGAACTCTAACCAAGGCCATGTCGGTGAACCAATGGGGTAGCTTATTGAGGTTACTTACAGAAGCACGGATAAGGGATTATGTTATAGGAACCTGGATAAGGGGCTCTGTTACAGGATCACAGGTGACTTGGGCAGCTCCATCATGGAAAAGCCCCTAATCTTGTAAAGGTCAAGGCCGGATATCGGCGCCATCTTATGATGGTCACAGTCTCCAGCGCTTCCCACACAGCTCCATCATGGAAAAGCCCTGACCCCCAACATGCACAACCCCTCATGGAATCTGCAGCACTGGATTCCCCCAGGCAGCCTTCAGACAGCCACTCCACTGAAGAGTCATTTCCCTGACTTTCTAACTTTCTGTTTACTTCACCCATCTTCTCTCCCACCTGGAGCTGTGCCCTTGGCTGTGTCACTGTGTCACAGAAGTTCTTGGTAGGTTTTGAGCCCATTTCCATTTGATTCTGGAAGTTTTTACATTTTCGATTTGATTTCTTCAATGATCCACTATTTATTTTTTTGGCTAGGGTTTCCTGTAGCCCAGACACTGAGCTTGAAAACTCACTGTGTGGCTGAGGACGTACTTGTACTCCTCATCCTTCTGTTTCTACCTGTCCAGTGCCTGGATTAGGGGTGTGTGCAATCACTCCTGGATCTTTTTCTTTGAAAAATTTCAGGATTGACTTACGTTCAGTAAGATTGTCTTGGACTCTACAATGCAATATAGTAGAAAATAACTGGTGAAACATTTGGCTATAATTACCAAATAGAAGCTCAAAAGATATGAGAAAAAATAAACCTTAGAATACAGTAAAGCTCTTTGTGGCTCACTAGACATTACATAAACACAAAGCTTGAAACAACACACCTACAGCTGGAAAGTGAGTGGGGGAAATAGTGCCCTCATTTTGGTGATAACAACTTCAGCATATTTAAGCATAAATTAGAACGAACAGCTTTCACAGAGAAACTAATAAAAATTGAAGGCATAAATAAGATTTGAAGACATGTACATACGTGAAAATTTTATGAATGGGAAGATAACCTATTGAAATATAAAATCACATAAAATAACACATTTATTCATATGTTTTATATTTTAATAGTCTTGTCTTTAATTGGATACAATTTTCGTGAAATGTATATAAGACACTGATGGCAGAGAGAAAGTTTACAGAAAAGGAAGCATGAGGGATGCTTGCTTTACTGGATTTCAGAATTTATTCCAAAGCCAATAAAATGTGTTGATGGTGAACATTCTCAGTTCAGGGGACTGGCCTGAGTCCAGATGAGTGCTTTCTGCATGGAGGTTTAAGTTGTCTTACACTTACAGAGAGTATGACTTCATAAAATCAGTGACTGTAGTTTAAGGGACCCAAAGCTTCTCCACGTATCAGGCATGGCTGAGACCATTTGGAGGCGTGTTATTTGCATACAGTTCTCTGAGAGACCAGTCTACAACTGCAGGAAGCACAGGGCAAGACACTAGGTAGTGCCAGAAAACACAGTGTGGGGCAGGATCCGCACAGAGTTGCCGCAGGAGGGAATAAGCAACCCAGATAAGTGAGCTTGAGTCTGGCTAGCTGTGGGTGAAAGTGACACACTTACTAAATACATCTGCACTCTGCTTCTCATAGTGTGTGGCCTGGAAGTGTCTGAAGTTTCCAGATATTTCTGTACAAACCAGGGTTTCTGTGAGAAAAGTGAGTGACTGTTTTGCAAATGTGACAGCATTGCAACATAGAAATTAGCACCGTGGTTAATATAACTGACCTCCGTGAAGCTTTAACATCCTTGTTAGTAATTAGTGAGCTTGGGAAATGAATGTAGATCAAGGAGACCTGATAGCAGAGATCTACATGGTGAAAGACGTTTGATGCATGTAGAGTGGGATCAAGTTAAACACACATCCACAGCATTTAAGTGACGCACACACGGTATGGACCTATTCCAAGGACGGTAGTGATGGTGTCTGGAATCAGAGAGCACAGTGAAGTGCCCCAACTTGATGGGCAGAGAACATGGAAACGAGTCCATCATCTATAGAAAACGTCCAGGTTCTGCAGTCATATGATAGTGGAACTGTAGTTATGTGAAGCCTCTTTTACAGTGTTAATAGGGTGATCAGAATCTTTGATTGGGTGGTGTATTACTTGTGCATTAAGATAAATGCAACAAGAGGGTCCTGCAATTTCACAAACATTTCTGTTTATCCAGGGGAAGTAAAAGCTCAGTGCTGCTGTGATGTTTGAATCTAGGAAGTCGGTGTTTGCTGTTGGACTCTGTATGGGCCCAGCTCTGTTGGGGATAGGGAATGCCGTTCATATCAGCATTTGACAGACAGGACATTTGTTTCTTTGTCAGATTTGTCTGGTTTTGTTTCAACTTTGAAAACATTAGATTCATCTGTTCCTCGTTTTCGTAGCCCCTTTCCCATGGCCCCATGCCAGTACCAGGGGCAAGTAATCCATATACATGAGGCTCACCATGAATATCTATATGTAGTTTAAGGGTTCCACAGGAAGCATAAGGCCATTTCTTCCATGGCTGTTTCCTGATATGATTGATTATTCACTAGATGAAGTTTCTCATTTTTGTTCTGATGTCTCTGTAGCAATTATTTAAATTTCTTGCAAAGGATTGAGGGGGGTATTAGTGCTTATTAACCATGTGATCCCTTGCAAAGATATCAGGGCTAGCAAAATAAAGAGACTTTCCCAGGGGTCACAGCATAGACTCATTGGGGGTTCCTTTAGGACGTTGTATTGTCCCTGGGTCATAGGATGTTATCTGCCCTGCCATATAATCCATCCTGTAAGAAGTCAGAATGATTTAAAAAATATTGGAGTGGAAGGAAGTGAACGTGGTTACCCAGAAATAACATCTTGGTGAATGTGTGATCTTTAATGAGCATTCTTTGAAAATTCATAAGGGAAGACACAATGGCTTATGAATGTCCCAGAAGTCCAGAACTTAACAGAGCCATTCCAGGAGGTAACATGGGATGGAGGGTGCAGCAGTGAGAGTGAGAATCTGCAGTACCCAAAAGCACCAATATACCAATTTAGCAAGCTCCTGAATTATGGAGTCCCCCATAGGCAAATTATATAGGGCTCGCAAGAATCAGTCTGGTGATACAACAGAACACTGGTGTCTGAGGTGAGATGCAGTAGGTGAATATAATTGATTCACCATCTGGAATAATGCAACAAGCTTTGCTTTGCTCTGAGAAAGTCACCAGTGTTGGGTTTCATTACATAGAACAGCTTCCTTTTACCTAAGGAAGGTCACGAAAGGGAACCTCTGTATCTAGCCCAATTAGCTACGGCCTGGATAATCTTTAACTTAGATTACCAGTGAAAAAGGGCACAGTGCTTGCTGACTGTTTTGCCTAGGAGTACAATCAGCTCAGATCACTAGCAGGGCAGAGTACGTTCACAGGAGGGTGCTCTTGTTTATGACTGTGGGACTATGATCCAGTCAATGCAGTTTAACTTTTTTATAAAATGTGTGCCATGATATTATACGGACCTTCTGGCATGATGTGAGTAGAGAGTGTAGGCAGCCTGACTTGAATGGGTAAAATCCACTGACATCTATAAATACAGGTCTTTCATTACAGTTTTCCTTGAAGTTATATATATTCGATATACCCGGCAATGTTGCAAGATCATTAGCATTAGACCAAGAGCCATTTTAAAACAGACCTCAGG